TTTGATTAAATACCCACAGAAGTTTGAGTTATGTTGTTAAAATGTTAGTATTTGTTTTGGTTAGAAGATGTGACCATGTTTATTTGCTGTTATTTACTTTGAAGGAATCATTAAAACCTGGTGATAATGATTGACTGCATGAAGATTTAGGCGTTAAGATGCTCAAATGATCTCAGGCAGGCTGTTCAGACCTCATCAGTCTGCTATATCTGTGGCTGTAGTGAAATCCATGTGCAGCTCCCAGTTAATTTGTACACGTTGTGTCAGAGGAGTGAGCACCAACACCCCACTGTTAAATCATTGATAAGAAAGTAAAAATGAGACAGTAGTGGGAGGAAACATTTTTTTTCCTCCCATGAGGACAGAGGCGGAGAAGGAGAGTGAGGCAGCTGTGGGTCGACGATAAGACCAAGAAGGAGAGTTAGGCAGCTGTGGGTCGACGATAAGACCAAGAAACGCATACGTTTTCACAGCTCACCCGCCCACGCCACAGCACACTCCATCCTTAAGGTTTCTATTTTAAAAGAAACCCCTGACTTTCATATGCTTTGGTAGCCAAACACCTGAACTGTTGGGAGTGTCGTCTGGGATAAAGTCGTCTGTGCCGTGAATAAAGGCGCGGGAAAGCCTTAAAGGTTCAAATGCAACACGTTCTCCTGGAGCAGCCAACTCTGGCCGTGTGATGGGCGGAGTGCAGTTTTAGAGTGAAAAGTCTTGTTTCAGCCGGCTCCTGCACTCTCTGTCTGAGACTGTACCAAACACCACGTTTCCACTGTCTGCATTTACCTGTTCAAAAACATCCTCACAAATTTAAATCATTAAACAAGCATCGCTGCCTGGCAAAGGGAGAAGACATTTTCTCCTCAAGCTATAGGATAAAAATATAAATATCGGATCATTTTCGCTTTACAATTTATTGGTGTAATACTCAGTCTGTCAGGAGCCAGATATCATCAGCAGTACCAGCCGCCACAAAGCTTCCAAAGCTGCTTTTCTCTGCCAAAT